TATTTTATTTTCAGAAAGGGACTCGCTAAGTTGCTTAAGGCCTGGATAAGTTGCTGAGGCTGGCCTTGAACTTGTGATCCTCCTGCCTCCGCCTGCCAATATGCTGGGATTAGAGGTGTGTGCCACCGCAAAAGGAATATAGATCAATGAACCATTTATACATAATATACTATGTGGAAAGAACTATTGGTCACCTTCAGAATATAAATAGATTTAAACAGGGAGATGAAATAAATATACAAACACATACATATACAACATATACACACATTATATATAAACCATCAACATGTTAACAGCTCTTTCCACATACATATATACCTATGAAATTCTATACTGTCAGATAAAGACTACAAGCAATTTGAATTTCTTTTGCCTTTCCTTCAAATCAGTTAAAGAAAATTTACCTTTAGAAACAAGTTAATCATATACTGTTATATATGTTGAATATAGCATACTGAAATTCCTTAGTAATTAGTCCAAAAAGAAATATTTCGAAAAAAAATCCCACATATTAATGCAAATTAAGCAAGCAAGTTTTAAAATTTATACAATATGCTTGGGAAATCTTCTTTTTTTTTTTTTTTTTTTTTTACCTTAGTTCTCGGCAGAGACAACATCTTTATTGGTATATGGTGCTGAGGATCGAACCCCGGCCGCACGCATGCCAGGCGAGCGCGCTACCGCTGAGCCACATCCCCAGCGCCCATTGGGAAATCTTTAGTTGTATGGCAGTTTTAGTCAAATAGAGAAATGTTAAAAGTACATGACCTACAATATATGCAGTCTATAATTTGGATTATGTTATGGAAACATACAAATATTTCTTCTGAAAATTAAATCCCTTAAGAAAGAAGCCGAGGTGAATTTCTATATTATAGTCATTCTACTCAAAATATATATTAAGTCGACTAAGAATTATAGTTTTATTGTAATGCAACACTATGATACTCGTCATTTCAGTTAGCAATTTTTCCTACTCTTTAGACACGACAGATAAAATGAAAGTTACATATTGAATAACATCAATCACATTCTTCCTCAGAGAGCAGGAAAATTCTGCAAATAGGGCTATTTTTTTTTTTTAATCAAGGAGGGCAAGGGACTATGAGAAAGGTCTTTATTCAAATAATTCTAGTACAACCAATAGGAAACATCCTCTTCCCCTAAAAGCCCACCAACACTATACTGTATTAAAAAAAAAAAATTAAATCAAATAAAGTCCTTTAAGTATTTCTAGTTTCACTTTGAGGCAGTCTCAGGAAAATAAACATTTCAAATAGTATCTTCATAAGGATAATTTTTCCCTAAGTTAAAATCCCATTTTTGTACTTAAAAATGTTATAGTTGCTTTTATATATTAAAAAAAAAAAAACAATAAAATCAGCTTAAAATAAATTTATTGTACAATACAAAAAGTAGGCATACCGGAAAATAAAGGTACATTATTAAATATACAAAGCAAATGAAAGAAAGCTAAACAACACAAATGTTTTAATCCAAACACTAAGATAAAATGCACAACATTTATGCTAAAAACCAAATATATCAAGAAGAATATGCATTTCAAATGAAATGTTAATGATGCCAACAAAAAGGAGGAAAAAAAGAAAAACAAATGCTATCTTGTAAATGCTTGAATATCAAGAATCAATAATGGCACAAAACATTAAACCCAACAATACTGGGTACTTTTCAAGAACTTTATTTGAAAAGATATTAAGAATACTGAAAGAATCAAAATATGTACTTACACTGGCAAAGCTTTTCTTTTTAAAAGTTTGTGGGCCTATTCACAGCATTTTACTTCTTCTTCCATTCATACTTCCTATAAAAGTTTCTGGATGCTTGTTCTTAAAAAGTCTCTAAACAGAGTAGCTTGGATAACCCTACTTCATTTTTAAGTGTGCAGTTAGGCCTACCGACATTATATGAAGTGCCACAAATTAACAACCTAATTTTGAAATTTATACAAATATGTACACAATATGAAAACAACTATAATTTTATAAAGTAAAACCAACCTATGAGCAAAATGGGAAAATGTAATAATTTAGATCAGAGAAGGGGGAAAAAAAATAAAGCCTTCATGCCAATTAAGACATTCAGTTACTTGAATCACAAATAGCCATGGTAGAACTAACACAAATGTGACACTGTCCATAGGTTCAGMAGTGGCAAGGCCTTGAGAAGCATCCAGTTAATATAAATATCTGAATATCACAGGAACATTCAAGTAACCGTAAAATTCTTAGTAAAACTCTGTAAAATTTCATATATAATTACTTAAATACTTAAATTTAACACCTAAGCCCAAAAGGCTTTTGACCAGCACCTCGGAGGTGGAAACTTCTGGGAGGAAACTTCTTCCCCTATTAATATAGTTCTCAAACTCAAGACATCATATGACCAAGATTTCTTATATCTAATTTGTACCTGATATCTAAACTGTAAAAGATATCTAAATTACTCAGTAAAATCTCTTTTGCTATACTATAATACTTTTACAGACTTTGCCGCATCACATAAATGCCATCATTCTAAGAAGCCATAAAGGTTTCCTTCTCAAACTTCTCCCTCCAAATTTACTGGTTTAGACATAAATTTTTTAAAAACCAAAAAAACCAAACTTGAAACTATGGGGAAAACTACAGAGGTATATGGAAGAAGGAGGAAGTGTGAATAGGCCCTACAGAATTTTACAAACACTTTGCCAAGACAGACTTTAAAATACTGTGCATAATTATTTGAAATCAGGTTACATAGAACCTAATTCTTCTCTTAAAAACAAGTTTTGATTCTCAATATTGCATTTTTATAACTGAACAAAAAGATTCAGATCTAAACAGATATTTTAGTAGCATACTTACTACCTTTAGACTAAATTCAATTCCTAAGTACTCCAAGAGAAGTCAAATAAAACAAACTTTATGAGATGTTATAATTTATCACAAAAGAAATATTCATTAGCACTTATGAAATTATTAGAATAATAAAATTATTAAAAGCTAAAATCAAAATCTGCCATTCATATGTAATTATAACAGAAAAAGTTATGTAAATTACGTAGGTAATATGAAAATAAAATTCATATTGAAGACACACACTATCTCTCCTTCTGAGTAACCATTATAGCTTTTTAACAATGAAATTCTTTGGCTGGAAAGGTTCAATATGTAAAGACACTCCTGTACAAGATAGTTCTCAGGACAGAACTCAGGAGTTGCACAGTAACAAAGTAATGAGATATACTTTAAAGTGTTTGCCAAAGTTTTGACGAATTTTTAAAAAGTTAAAACCAATCTACAGCTAAAAATGGCATTCATGTAAACTTAAAATAATTTTATAATCTACTGCTATTATAAATAAAGTAATTTGGAATTCGTTACTTTGAATTTTTAGTTTTGTATTTAGCATAGAAGTACTTTCCATTGCTACTATCGACATCATGTCAGTTTTAAAAATAGAAAATAAAAAACTAAATGCAATAATTTATTAAATTCAATTTGTAGATTTTAGAACTGAGAAATGACACCTTAGTAGGATTATCTGGCTATACAGGCAAAATTTTTAATTAAATCAAGATTTTTTTAAATTTCTTTTTTGTATTTTTAAAAAATAAAGCAAATTTGCTTTATTTACTTTTTAAAGACCAACAAATCCACTTTTTAACTATTATCTTTTTACAAAGATTATAAGCAAAAAAAAAAAAAAATTAAAAAGCTTATGGCTCCAGCACCTAAGGTTGAGAACACAAAAAATTCAAATAAATATTTATAGTTTGCAAAAAAGCTAAAGATGTTTGAAAGGTTAAATGAAGAAACATTCTGAAACTAGAACCCATTTCTTTAGCTTTTCTCTCCCAGACTTTCCATTCTATATACTACAGTTGTAGAGATGTCCTCATTTGACTCAGGTGACACTTTTTTCCACACTGTCTCTTTTAAAGCAAGTTCTTGTTGGAGACTTTCATAGTCCAATGGTCCAAAGGAATGCTAGTTGTTCAAGCAACATACATAATTTATTAGTGTACTTGAGTGAAGAAAGGTCCAAGCTATAAAATGGTATTTTTCAATGAACGTTATTAAAATCTGTTAACATTTTTACCCACCACCATCTGACATTTTACTTCATGTTACTCATGTCGACTCCCAATAAAGTTTCTACTCTGTTAACTTGGCAAAATTCTCAAATATTATAAGAAGTTACTTTGATTGCAACTAACAAAACTTTAATGTGGCACTAACAAAAGTTATTTGGTATATACTAAAATTGTTTACAAGAGCTTCACAGTCTAATAGGTAATTTTACTATAAAAATTTTTCATATGGGATGCAAAGGTACTGAATTAAAATTCTCAATATAAGTCCTTTGGCCCAGTAAAAGACTACATATAGATTAAAAAAGTTTAAGTCCTGATTCTAATACCAGCTCTAAAATAGAAATGGATAATATGAAGCCAAACATTGCAATAATAAACAGGACTTTAAGGGTATGAGGATATTCCATTAAACACTCATTGTAGAAAAAATATTTCATCTACAGTGGCTTATAAAACTTAAGAGGCTTCGAAAGGTCTCCCACTAATATCATAATATCTTTTCATTTACATATTTATCCACAAAGTAGGTAAGGAATTGAAATACACTTTAATTCAGAACTAGGACAAATATTAAGAGTAAAAATGACTTTCTTTTTATATTAATAGCATGTAGCATTTCTTCCAATATTTTTTTAAAACAGAATCAATTCTAAAACTCTTAAAATAGCAGAAAACAAGCCAACTCTTAGGCTAATGAATTCCAATTTAAATAGTGAAAGCAATATTTAATATCTATATACTAGTGATCCAAGATAAAAACATCAGCAATTTGTTTGCATTCATTTGTGATTGGGAAAGACATGAGACTACTAACAAACTTAAGTTTTAAACAGGCGAATCTCAATTTCTCTTTCTTAAAAGAATATTATAGAATGATCTAAGAAAGACTTTGGCTTACCCTCTGATCTCCACCTTCTCTTCGAGGATCAAGTTTTTTTGCAAAGTGTCTCAAATTGTCATAGTTATGGAAATTACACAGAGAAACAAGATCCTGTAAAGAGTTATACAGAATAGGTATAAGTAATGAATATGACATAACTATGTTGATATATGACTACAAGACAGTGAATCTCAACATTGTGTATATCCACAAGACTGGGATCCTAATTAGAATAAGATATACTCCATGTTTACATCAAAATAGATTCTATTGTCATGTGTAAGTAAAAAGAATTTTTAAAAAGAAATTGGTTGTTCACTAGCTATGTTTATTCACATTTTAACAAACCGTACATATACTGTCCGGCTTAACTACGATCTTATAGAAACCACCACTGCAGCTGGGTAGCATAGGCGGCACATGCCTGTAATCCCAGCAAGTAGGGAGGCTAAGAAAGGAGAATCCCAAGTTCGAGGCCAGCATTGGCAATTTAGAGAGATCTTACCTCCAAAAAAAAAAAAGCATTGGGATACAACTCAATGGTAGAGGCCCTCTGGTTTACTCCCCATACCATAAACAAACAAACAATGCATGCTAACTATAAGCATGGCATAAGGAAGAGAAATGAAATCAGAATAAAGATACAAGTCCTGAAAACACTCTTACTATAGCATGACCCTAGTACTCAATCACTCAAATTGTCTAACTTTCATCTTGTGTAAAACAGGGTTTATATAAGAGGCCACATGAAAGCATTCTTCAGTGAAATAACTGTAAAGTACCATAAAAATATGTCAGAATTCTGGTTATAATTTATTATAATTAATTTTATATATAACCCAAGGTCATTCTCTAGGTCATGTAAAATATAAAAGACTAAAAAACAAACCAGAATTTTAATTGAGAAAAAAATCTGCAAATAAAAACCAAAAATTATTGTATTTAACATGGACTCTACAAAGTAATATATGTAAGTAAAATAATAACATGAAATAATAATGAGAATTAGGTGACAATAAAATACTGAACTAATCAAAAGTAGTACAACTTTTAAAAATTTATCTTAATTTTAATTTGCAGTGCTTATTTCTTGAAAAAAAACAAAGAAAGGTAGGTAATAAGTAAGTCAACTATGTGTATTAATGATACAATAAATTTTAATTAAAATCTTTGGTTTTAAACTACTTCTCTGTATATTTTCTGAGTTTTGGAAAACCAATTATAACCAAGAAAATTAAAACATAAGCATCAATCAAATGTAATTTTTTTGTGAGAATAATTAAAAAGGACTGTCTGGTAGTGCAACTTGAAGCTCCTCCGTGAGTATTTCCATGGCTACCCAGCAACTGTCACATAGGCAGGCAGAATACCAAAAGTGAAAACTATGGAAAATAGGTAAAAAATAAAATCACTGGGTAGCTTAACTTGTATGGTCATTATTTTCATTAAGAATGCTTACATGACAGAAGTGAATTCCTTTAACACTGTTGCCCATCTTGTCCAGAGGAGGAGACCAGCACATCATGCCCATGACATTGGGGACAACTAAAAGAATTCCCCCAGCAACTCCAGATTTTGCAGGAAGACCAACCTAAAAATTCATGTAAACATTTGAAAATAAGAAATGTTATGTTCAATAATAAAGGAACTGATTTAAAAAAAATATGGCATATATCCATACAAGAGAACTTCAACACTTAAAATATCATAGATAAACATTGATCAACATGTTTGTAAATACAGCAAATAAATGACAAACTATAAAAATGTTTGGAATACAGTAAAATATAGAAAAAATTTTGAAAGACATAGTCTAAGGAGTTAAAGTGGTTACATATAAACTATGATCCACAGGTTTTAATTTTATTCTTCTTCACGATTTTTTTAATTGTTCTAAAATAAAAATGTATGCTTTATATATCAAAAGTTATTTCCAAAAACATTGTTTAACCTGAAAATAATGAGAAATTATTATCTTCTTAAAAGATTTTCCTATGGTATACTTTCAGAAGAAGATCTTAGAAATAAAAAGTAATTCAAATCAATCCTCTTCAGAAAGTTTGTCCACATTATGAAAAAACTGGACAACAATTATGATAAAAGAAAAATTAGTTTCATCAGTGCAGCATTTATTAATGGCTTACTAACATTCAGACATTAAGCACTTCTTGATAAAATTATACCAATGAGATAATCTTGCACAAAACCAAATAAAACAAGCCAATGGAAACCATCTGAATTGGATAAAACAATTCACAGGAACTACAAAGCACAATGGAACATATGTAATGAATAAAATCTAGACCAAGAAAGGCTGTACAGGATAAATGACCCAACCAAAAATAATGAGAAAAAGAGAGATCATGGAGAGACCTATAGATTAAAAGAAAATAAATGGCCACACAACCAATCACAATATATGTTCATTATTTGCATCCCAAGTCAAACAAATTGTAAAATAATATAATCATAATATAAAATAATCCAGGAAATCTGAAAACTAAATATCTTGATATTAAATTTAATACTGATTAAAGATAATGTTTTTATATGTAATATTTAAGTTTTTAAATATGTAATATTATTATTTTAAAAAAAAACTCTTTTTGGGGGGACATAATATCTTTATTTATTTTTATGTGGTGCTGAGGATTGACCCAGGGCCTCACACATGTAAGGCAGGTACTCTACCACTGAGCTACAACCCCAGCCCCCTAATGGTACTCATATATTTTATTAAGGGTCTTTATTATTTGGATTTATATACTGGAATATGATAAGGATGGGAAAGTAGATATGTACACAGATGAAACAAGATTAGTCATGTATTTATAATTACTGAAAGTGAATGATAGGTAACATTAAATCCATTTCTCTATTTTGCATACTTGAAATTCCCCCTCCCCAAAAAATTTTTAGGACTGCATTACGACATAATATAAGCAAGATGAAATAAGAAAGGTCCATATGTTTCACACTGGCAAATGCACAATAGAACTTAAAGGAGTATATTTTTAAGCTTTAATTTTAATGTACTTTAAGCCCTTTAAAACATCTACGGCTGTAACAAAAGAGGTTAAACGTTCCATCTATGTATTCCTTTTGAACTTTTGGAATGCAGTCACTATAATGCTAAACAATGACAAATAAAAGTAAAGAAAATCTGTACTAACCTTAAATGTAGAAATGCTTTACAAGCAGAAGCTATGAGGTTCTTTAAATTAAACTTCCAAGTTCTTAAGAACATCTGATAGACTATTTTAACTCTATTTCTTACCAATTTGTAACAAATTAACCTTGAAAATAAGCCTCTCTTTCAAAAATTAATATACAGCTTTAGAAGCAAAGTTCAAACTGCTTAAAAAAAATTCCAGACTAGATTCTTGCTGGAGAAAATTAATAAACAACTACTCACATGGAAAGCAAATTGCCCTGAGAAATCATACATGCCACAGGAATGCATCAAACTCAGTGTATTTCGAACTGCTTCAGGACTCAGTACTCTTTCACCAGTAATTGGGCAGAAACCACCGTTAGCCAGTGTTGCAGCCATCACACTGGCGGATTCACAAGTCACTTCTATAGAGCACAGCTAAAACAAACAAAAAAGAATTCTGAATATTTAGGCTATTACTATTTTTATTTTCTAAGATCATCTATTTTATCTGGTATTTCATACATCTCTGAAATATTTCTTTCAAAGGGATAACTTTAATGTAACCTATTGATATTCCAAAGATTTTAACTGACTAAAGTTCTAGCCCCTTTAAGATATATCCTGATTTGCCGAAAGTTATTCAGAGTTTTAATGGCAGAACAAGGTTAGAAGGGGTCTGTTCCTAAACACTAAGACTTATTGTTGTCTTATGTAAGATTCAAATCTATTCACTATTAATTATGTAATGGATTATGTAAGCATAATTATTTTTAACACAATAGGAAAAAATAAGCCAAGTTAACATTTTTAAGAAAAAGCAATATACAACAATATTATGACAAACAATTTCTACATGAGAAATTACTACTTTGGGGGGGGGAAGCAAAACTGCCTGACATTTCATCTACACAAGAAAGCTCAACATCCCCATTTATACAGCAACATGCAAAGGACCAAAAGGAAGAATATGTGAGAGCTCTAACATGAATGCTCTGTGAGCCTAAACTATAATGTTATCTTTAGATCACTTATATTTATTTGATATTTACTATGGGAGATAGATATATTGTGATGAATGAAAAAAGAGAAAGCCAGGTACACCTGGACAATTTTTTTGCATTTAAATATAATCTAATAAAAATAGTTTATTATATCAAACCCAAATTTACCCATAAAACTAAAATAATAAATTCCTCAATGTTTTATTTTTTAATGATAACAATCAAGATTGTGGGAGAAAGTGGAAAGACAAGAAGGAAGAAAAGATTGGATCCTCAAATTCTAAAACTTTCTTCAGGCATACTGCAAGATCTACAAGAAGTATAAAGGAGCTTGGAAACAGCAAGAAATAAAATTAATTACAGTGAATTGGAACACAGTTTGTATAGCTCTGACTGAGAATCACTTTTTGATCAACTTTTACTTTCTCCCTTTAATATTAACACAATTTCCCTATTTCTCCAAAACTACAAAATCTACTTACTACATTGCCCTAGAAAAAAAAAAAACTACAGGTTGATTAATTATAAAAGGCTTTCTAAGTGAAATAAGATTTAAGTTCCAATGATCATTTTCTAATTTATACTTAGTATTAATTGGAATTGTTTGTTGTAAAGTGACATTCCCCTAATTTGACAAATGCCAATTTAAGAATATTCTCCTGATAACTTGATGGATGTTCACTTAATCAGATGCATCACTTTTCTAAAACAGTTAGTTAGTCTTCTATGATTATCTCTGGATTTTTGCCCTAAGTATAGAAATTTCACAGTAGATTAGTAGCACCTAAGCTATAATATCCAAAAATCAAATACATATTCTAAAGGAAAAGAAACATTAACTAATGGAAAAAATTTATATGGGCTGGGATAAAAGTAAAGATTATTGGATAAGAATAAAAATAATGGGCTGGGATTGTGGCTCAGTGGTACAGTGCTTGCCTAGCATGTGTAAGGCACTAGGTTCAATTCTCAGCACTGCATGTAAATAAATAAATAAATGAAAAGAGTGATACTATATTTCACATAAGACTTTATAAGTTTCAAAGGCATTTCACCCATATCATCCTATGTTATCTTCAATATATTTAGGTCAGGAATATGTTAGAAAATGAAATGAGGACCCAGTAACTGAAACTGAATTATATGACTAACAAAGTCAAGATAGACCTTGAATTTTATATTGCTTCTGGATTCTCAATTCATGGCATTTCACATTGGGCAGATGACAAACGAAGACCTGTACTTCCATCAAAATCTAGCAATTAGAGAAATGCAAATTAAAATTACACCGATATTTCATCTCACTCCCATCAAAACAGCAACAATCAAGAATACATGTACCAATAAATGTTGGTGAGAATGTGGGAAAAAGGGTATACTCAAACATTGATGGTGAGACTGCAAATTGGTACAATCACTACAGAAAGCAGTATGGAGATTCCTCAGGAAAAAATGGAGTGGAAACACCATTTGACGCAGTTATCCTACTCCTCAGTATATACCCAAAGGACTTAAGATCAGCATACTACAGTAACGCAACCACATCAATGTTTATAGCAGCTCAATTCACAAAAGCTAAGCTATGCAACCAACCTAGGTGCCTTTCAACAGATGAATATATAAAAAAAAATGTGGTATATATACACAATGGAGTATGACTCAGTCATTTAAAAAAAAAAAGAATGACTATGACTTTTGCTGGTAAATGGATGGATCTGTACAGTATTATGCTAAGCAAAATAAGCTAATCTTAAGAAACCAAAGGTTGAATGTTCTCTCTGATATGCAGATGCTAACACACTATAAGGGGGAGGTGGAGAATAGAAGTTCAGTGGATTAGACAAAGGGGAAAGAAGGGAAGGGAGAGGGAACAGGAATAGGAAAGAAGTGGAATGAATCTGATATAATTTTCCTAAGAAAAGGAAATATATATGAATATACCATAGTGAATCGCCACAACACCACAAGACTGGGATCCTGACTAGAATAAGATGCACTTCATATTTATATAAATATGTCAAAATATACTGATCTGTATATCTAAAAAGAACAAATAAAAATCTGATACATTATCAACTTCCCTAATATAGATTCTATAAAACCACTAAAAGGTTAAAATTAAAGTACCTTCAAAAGTAAAGTATGGTAAACTAGATATCAAAAATAACAGTCTACTATGTAGCTTCATATTATAGTACGGCTATACTAAATTGAGGACCATACCACATCAGATTATGTGCATGGTCTCTGCTCCCTGCTACCCTATGAATACTGAGAGCTACTCTAACTTAGAAAAAACTAATTGTGACACTGCAGAAGTGAGTTAAACAATTATTCTTTGAGCACCAATTAAACCAGAACAAGGTAGTAACAAAGATTACGAAAGACAGCAAGTCAGCTAAAACAGACATTTTAAATCACTGGATATGAGTATTCTGATAAATAGCTTCTTACAACCAAGGGAATACAATTTCTAAGATTGCATATCACTTCATAAGTTTTTGAAAGAATGTTTCCCTATTCCATTCTGAAGCATGTATTTTTAGGAGATATTAACATGAGACTATCTTTTGTGAGGAATTTTTTTTGGGGGGGAAAGTCAATGGAAAATGAAATTTTTCATGGCTGAGAATCAAGATTTCAAAGATACCTGCAAAATGTTATATTTACAAAACTTGTCACATCTATTTATACATACAGTTCATATAATCACAGTAAATTACCTGGAAATAGAAGTCTAGTATACCAACCATGTCTGTGCCTTCTGGAAAACACTGAAAAACAGAAAGGCAATTAGAAACATAAACACTCAGAAAAACAAACATGCATATAAAAACAGGAATATGTCATGATTGAGTTTAAAATGTACAAGTTTCATTTTAACTGAGAACAAAATAGTATGTAACCTATAAACAATGTAGCATTACATAACATCATATAAATTTCTAGATACTAGTTTAACTGATAATGATAAACTGATCGATGAGTCTTAAATCAAGTTATTAGACTTAAGACTTTAAACCTTTAAAACTCAAGTGTAGCAGGCGTGGCTACACATGCCTGAAATCCCAGTAGCTTGGGAGGCTGAGACAGGAGGATCTTGAGTTCAAAGCCAGTCTCAGCACATTAGCAAGACACTGTCTCTAAATAAGATATAAAAAAGGGCTGGGGTATGGTTCAGTGGTTAAGCACCTTTGAGTTCAATCCCTCCCCCCCCCACACACAAAAATAATAATAATAATAATGAAGGATAATCAACTAATCAGGCAATGTACTTTAAAACAATGGTCTAAACCTCAAGCAGAATTTGCATTACGTAACTAGTCAAATGTTTGAACACTGCCAAATATAAATAAAATTTAATAATAACATTAACAATTTGGTAACACTAATTTGATTACAAAAAATTGGTTTTTTGCTTTGTTTGTTTTTTAAGCCACTAGGTATTGAACCCAGGGGCTCTCTACCACTGAGCTACATCCCCAGGCTCTTTTATTTTTTAATTTGAGAGAGGATCTCACTAAGTTGCTTAGGCTGGCCTCTAACTTGTGATTATCCTGTCTCAGTCTTCCCAAATAGCTGGAATTACAGGCATGGGCTACTACCATAACCCAGCTACTTCTGTACTTTAAATAATAAGAATTTATTTAAAGAATATTGTAGAGTTCTTAGCATGTGTGGTCATATTTTATTGAACAAATCTAAAGTAGAAACAAAAATTTAAAAACCTTTTTTTCTTTTAAGTAGTATCCTATTGCAAAATTTCGATCTCCACTTTCTCTTTCTGACTGAAACCTAGAAGAAAAAAACATTTATTTACTTTCTGTAAAAATATGCATGTTCTTTACTTTGTATAGAAAAGTACAGTATGAATAACACTGAACTAAGACTCAGAACTATTTGAGCTATCTAGTTTTAATACTGTCAACAGGCTCGTTATTTGGTCTTGAGAAGGTCTTTTAAGTGCTAATCTTTCAGTCTTAGTTTTCTCAGCTATAAAAGGACAGAAATTAACTCATGTCCTTTCTGAAATTCATATTTTATGAACAAAAAAGCTAATTTTAAAATTCTCAAACATGTCATCATTAAAATACACTGAAAATTATAGAATCCGGCTTTTCCTAAGAGTACAATAGTTAATTCCAACTGAGCAAATCCACAGAAGTTTCACGGAGAGAACAGATAAAATGGATCTCCTGCAGGACTAATAGATTTCAGGGGGAAGTCTAGGCAGCAGCAAATTCCATGCAGCAAAAACAAAGTTATAAAAGTACAAAAGACAGAACTTGATTGAGTAGAAAACATTTTGATGTATCTGGGAAGTGGTATAGGAAGAAGAATGAAAAACATAAAACTAGAAAAGGAAATTGGACCATATTATTAAGACTAGTGAATGCCAAAAAGTGTAATGACTCCTGACTGTGCACAAAACATAATCTGAAGCTGGAGAATATCATGTTAAGTGAAGTAAGGCAATCTCCAAAAACCAAAGGCCAAATGTTTTCTCTAATAAGTGGATGCTAATCCATAGTGTTAGGGGTTGGGGGGTGGGGCATGGGATGAGAGGAGGAACTTTGAATTGGGCAAAGGGGTGGGAGGGAAGGGGGTATGGGGGCTAGGATAGATGGTGGAATGAGATGGACATCGTTACCATAGGTACATGTATGACTGCACAAATGGTGTGACCCTACTTCTTTTACAACCAGAGAAATAAAAAATTGTGCTCCATTTGTTTACAATGAATTAAAGAGCATTCTGTCATGTATAACTGATTATAAACACACACACACACACACACAGAGAGAGAGAGAGAGAGAGAGGGAGAGAGCCTGAAGGCTTTCAAACAAGTTACTTAGATCTACATTCTACAAAGATCACTGTGACATCTGTTTGGGAAACTGGAAAAACGAAAAGATGAGTGATATATCAAGAAATGAGAAGTGCAGAAAGTTGAATTTAAGCAGTGGTGACAGAAATAGAGGGACACTAAACATGCACATATTTTTAACTATTTAAAAAGAAATAGTAAGAAAAAAAGGAGACAAAATATTAATCAGAGAATAAGTATAACAATAAGTATGACAACTTTTTTGTAGGCTGAAAATTTCAAAACAACAAATTGGAGTAAAAATAACATTAGCTAGGCACAGAGAGATAAAAGAGGTGAGACAGGTGTTATAGGCAAAGAGAAAATTGAATAAGTGCCAGTAATTTGAGGTAAACTTGGGGTACTTCCTGATTCTATGGCTATGTATAAGAAATTTATTAAAACCATTTAAATCGTTTTTAAATGTCCCTGTCATATAATTTAGAAATCATTTATTTCCTTCTATGATTAAATTTTAATTATTTATTTACTAAAATAAGTCCTAGGATCAAGAGCACATTAATTCTAAAAATACTACTGTACATAAACATAATGTATATAGGAGAAGTTAACAAAGCAGTATTAAAAATAAAATTCTATAATCTAGATTATTTTGTTAAAGAGGCCTGACCAACTATAAAATCCTAAGCCACAAATCAGACTCACGTTGCATTACTGAATCCAACATATTCATTACCAGCCATCTTATTCAAAAACTGCATCACCTATAAACCAAAATTAGGACGTATTAGTAACCAAAAACAAATATATAAAGAATGTAGAATGAAAATGGAATTTTATAATGCACTTACATAGTCAAATTTTTCAGCATTATTTACTCCTTGCTGTGAAGAAACAAGATATAAATATGTTAATATACACACCACCAGAGTTAAGTTTCAAGCTAACATAATATAAAATTTCAAATAGCTACCATTATAATTAATACAATGCATTAGTACTTTTAAAACTAGGAAATACTTCTAAAGTAATTTAATATTTAAACATTTTTACATGTTCTTTAACACCCATATGTTGAGAGAAAAAAATCGAAATTACAAAGGGAATGCTTTATTTTAAGTATATCTTTACTCAACCCAAATTTACAGAATTTTATACACAAGTTATCCTGAAATTCCCTTATCTGTCATGACAGTACATAATCTGATAAAATGTATGTTATTTAATTTCATATTTTAAAAAACTTAAAATAAAGTTTCACCTTAAAAAGATTTAAGCATATATAAACAAAATAATTTCAATTAAGAATAATCTATTTATATTTTTTAAAACCTTAAACCAATATTAATTGAGTTAGAAAAAATGAGTTATGTTGCAAAACTGACTAATCTCTTATAATTCTACAATATGTAAACATTCTGGATACATTTAGTAGTGTAGAAAAAACTCTACCCTTAATATTTTTTTCATTTTTTATAATAATACTTGAACTTAAAAAATTATATTTCATAGTTTCTAAAAATTAGCCATAATTGTATTTCACATTATGCCAATTGAGAGTATGGAAGATGTATTGTTTCATCACTTCTATTTCTGACAGTTATCTACTGCAAATGTCATTAGGTCATTAGGAAAAACCTATGTAATGTAGATCAGTTCAAGTAGCCAAATGGTTTCATTTTACCTCGGCGAAGTTTACAAAGCAGTAAGTTGTAGATCTGAAATCAAACGTATTAATTGGTGATATGCACCCAAGAGAAACAATACATCTCTAATTTCTAAAACAGGCTTAAAATAAAATAAATCGACAACTAGTTTTTAAAACATATTTACCCTCAAAAAATCCAAAACATATATTTTCAAGACCTATTATGGGAAGAAAATGTGTTCCAGAGTACTGTTTAATTAAATAAAGCCAGATTCATTCTCCACTTACGAGAAGATGAGGGTATGGCTGATAATATGTGAAACCCTACAAATCAACTTACATAAGAAAGAAGTGCAATCACATATACACAATCAATAATTGGAAAGAACACCACAATATTGCATCAAAATTAGGCATTAACAAAATTTAAGATAAGGTAATTTAGCAACAGTCAGATTGTAATCCCTATCTACATATTTTCTGTAAAGCATCCTTTGATATATTTTAAGCTTTCTCTCCTTATAAAATAGCAGAAATTAAATGAAGAAATGTACTCCAAAGCTGTTCAATGAAAAATAATTAAAAGAAGAAATTACCAACTTCATTGAACTGTTGCAGTTGTCAAAATATTCCATAGTCCTAATGCTGTAAAATATGTAACAACATTTAAGCCACAAAAACCTTTTTAACCTTAGAAAAAGCACAAAAAAAAAAAAAAAAAAGAAAGAAAGAAAAGAAAAAAAAACAACTCTTTGATTGGAAAAGGATGTCAGCATTTGCACTGGGATGTCACATGGATAATTACTGGTTATACAATTAATCAATATAAAGTAAACAAGTTATATTGAACTTTCATTCTCTGACCTAAACTGTACACTATGAAAATAATACAAGTTTTCCTTATTGAGCTCTCATGTTTAATAGAAAATCATTTCAATTCTAAACTGTGGTCACATTTCACATACTTGGTCAAGTTTGTGGCTTACTCAGTTAAAGTACACTTAAGGTTTGCTTTTATGTTGTTTTTAAGAAACAATGACTATTAACCAATATCTATCATTATACAATATTTTTAATAAACTACTCAAAATGCCCTGGGTAGAGTATGTAGATAGGGCAAAATAGAATAATGAATGATTATGTGGACTAAAGTAATGTTTCTCCTCCAAATTGCTCCACTTAAGTGTAAAGACATTTGATTAACATTTACCATTATTATCTACCCTGGAAATTGCATTTAACTGAAGTCAATAAAATACATATGCCTCTGTATCTCTTAGAAAGATTTCATGTACCTACCCTTAGGATTTGGGGGATCTAATAATCATAAGCTAAGAGTAGGTACAATGTGGCTGGTCATATTACTCTGTTTATGTTGTTTATGTTTGAATTCTTTTAGTTAAAAGTTAAAGGGAAAAAATTGAATCAATAATAATCTATACTATTTTACAAGATTGTTCTCTTCTTGAGTATTTTCTTTCCCCTTTGAAATAGTCATTGATTTTTAATTCATACATCAATATTTTCTACTGATAAAGTAAGATGGGAACTAATTTCCTCCTTATTTTTAATTTTTACAGATATGTGAGTTGAAAAACCAAGCTTAAAATACATGAGCAGACTAAAATAGAAAAAGGTTTGTTCTTTATACACCTATTATCTCACCAAGTCACCTACCTCATCACAACAGAATTCACACAATAACTTATCCTCAAAAATTACACTACTCCTATTACCTGACAATTCATTTAAATCCTCGTTCAGTTTGATTAGAAACAAAGAACTGGAAATACAATAGGACGTATCAATCATTACTCTGATTCACATACTCAATACCACTGACTTCAGTATTTCAAAATGTTCCCTCTTGTGGTATCCAAGAGGTTTTTAATAAACCAAAGCAGTGCACCATAATAAAATTTAGGACACACGAGTATGACTGTTTTTGAGAACAGGATGGCACCTAGATCACAGACAAATTAATTTTAAGAAAGGTACATATGGAAATATATTGGGAAACTAATTATCTTAAATTATCCTTGTACTTTTTTCCTTCATGTATCAGGTATATATTTATACCAGTTTGAAGATCACAACACAAGCATTATTAGATACCGTGTTAATTTAATTTTGAAAAAGTTACAATAATCTGTAGTAAATATAGCAGGAACATTTAAATTGGGCAAAATATATTTACTGGCTGGGTGCTGTGGCACACACCTGTAATCCCAGGGGCTCAGGAGGCTGAGGCAAGAAGACCAAAAGTTCAAAGTCAGCTCACCAAAAGCAAGGCACTTAGCAACTCGGTGAGACCCTGTCTCTAAATAAAATACAAAATAGGGCTGGGGACACAGTTCAGTGGTTAAGTGCCCCTGAGTTCAATCCCTGGTACCCACACCCCACCCAATATATATATATATATATATATATATATATATATATATATATATATATATATATATTTACTAAAATTTCTAATCCATTTATCAATGCCTTTTAAAAGCAAATCATGTGGTTTGTGTAAAAAGGGTAATCAGATCCTTATACCAGAAAATTATACAAAGTTATTTTTCCTATAAGTATACCTATCAATTTACAGAATTTACATTCTTTAAAGAAAATTATGAGTGAAAATTTAATAAAGAGGCACTGAACTTCAATAATATCTATGAGAAGAATTATATAGTATATTGGAGAGGGTTTTTTTACACTGTTTTTTCACAATGTATTCAACAATTAATTCATATTACTATTAACAAAGACATCTCCCAGAAATTTAATATAAGAATTGGCTCAACTAAAGTCAATACATTAATCAGAGTTATTTTATAATACACTAGATTACATTCATAAAGTAGGGTGGTGAAAATCAACTAAAATTAGAGATCATAGAGGAAAAAGGCAAAGAGATAACTGAAAATGATTTTATAAAATATGCTTGATTTACTCTTGCCACAGAAAATGCTTTAAAGTTCAACAGTACTAGGTGAATTAAAAACAGATGTTACAGGTAAAAAAAAAAAAAAAAAAAAAAAAAAAAAAATTGTTCTAGCTCTAGTGTTTTCATAGATTAGCCCTAAAAATAAAAAAAAATAGTGGATTCAGTTGGTAAAATTCTCTTGTATTTTATTCTCAAAAGTATCACTAACATAAACTGAAGTTTAAAAGAAAAAAAATTTATATATATACACATATATATAAAATCTTGTCTTCCAAATGTAACCAAGTTCAAGATATCATCCATTACTCTCTAGAGTCACAAACCTCCCTAAAAATGTGGCCAATACACAAATCCAATCATGACCAAATGGAGGATTATACATACATTAGCTAAACTTGTCTTGATATTTCATAGAGATGATTAAATTGTTTAAAGAGAAAAATAACTCAATTTTTTAAATTCAAAAACATTTCTGATTTTTAAGAAAAATAAAGTTCTTCAAATGATAAAAACTGGAAACTACCACTAGAATAGTCATATAAACATGGAAGATAATGTATCTTACTCTATTTCTAAAATTTAAAAAAAACAAAAGTGTAACAATTATTTTGCAGTATGTTGCCCTCATCTTCCCGCTCTAACCCTTAAGTTATCAGACTAACTTTTAAACTAAAACTAGGTGAAACTTTTACCAGTGAAAAGATAAAATATTACAGTAAAGATACTACTATTTCTCCTAGACATTATCTATATTCCTTTCAAATTTATTTTATTCTTTTCTTTAAATCAAGCAATCATACATTATCAACATCATCAAATAAAACAGACTGCAACAAAAAGTATTCCTTTAATGTTAGTAGCTACCATAGAGAAAAAGTGAGGACGTATTGTAACCCTTATTTTTTTTAAATTATGTGCATTTTAAGTATAAAATGACATTTGTTTTTAAAAAGGTATTTACCTATACAGCTTTGTTTAAAATTTTAAATATTGGAGTTTTCCTATAAGCTTAGTAGTTAAGAATTTAGGCAACAGGTTCCTTCTGTCCAAATTCTCCTTTTTTCCACAATCTGCTAATCCTTTTGAACATTTGTTCTGCCTCTTCCCCCATTTCCTGAGGATCACCACCAATCCTACAAGGAAAAAATATCAATACTACAAAATTATGAAATAAAGAGTCTTACTAAAGACTCTACTTAATTTGTTTTCTTTCTTTTTTTTTAAGTTTTGGGAGGGGAGTAACATTAGGACAAATGTTTCAATGACACAATAATAAAGCCCTGAATTTTGAATGAAAAAAAAAATCACAAACAACCCTAAAGTCAACTAAAAGAGATAAAAACAGAACTTGCAACTTAGTAGCCATGATAAAATATCCATACTTTACAAGGCCCTAAAATACAAGGTCCTTGGGAAGGTCCTATTTCCTTATAGAGAGCAGGAACTGACTTATATTCTATAACTACATATACCCCCTAAAAAACAGATGCATTTTTTAAGTCAACAATCAGTATCTTCTGTATAAGTAACAGATTAAGAAAGTCATATTTCTGCTTTTTCTGGACAGTATAAACTATACTAGTTCAAGTCAAATATGTCATCAAGTGAAACAACAAACACTTATGTTAAAAATGCACAGTAAATTCCAATAATAAACAGAATATTGAGAGATTTAGTCGAAAGCCCTTTCTACTGTCGGTACAACCTGTCACTCTTGTTTCCTGAGGTATACAAAGAGGACTAGGCTTGACAACTTCTAAGGGGCTTTTGGCTATGGTTTACTACTTGAATTTCCAACCATTACCAATTGGTAAATATAATGTGATCATTTAGCTTGTAGAGATCACATACAGGTATTTATATAAAATTTCAAATTATTTCTTTAAAAGGTCCCAGTCAGGGTGCTGGGGCTATATCTCAGTGGCAGAGTGCTTGCCTAGCAAGTGTGAGGCACTGGGTTCAATCCTTATCACCACAAAAAAAATAAACAAATAAAATAAAGTCATTCTGTCTATCTACAACTACAAAAAATTTTTAAATATATAAAAGGTCAGGGACCTTTAAAAGGGCAGTTGGTTTTTACACAGGATTGTACTCAGGCTGTACACTCCAAGATTTATATAAACTTTGGTTAAAAAAATAACACTTTGATACACATTCTAAAACAAACAAACAACAACAAAAATAAAACTCAAAGAAAGTGATCCATATGTCAAAAGCTCATTTCTGACTTTGTCAGTAAATTTTAATTTTTATAATTTAAAATCACTGATCAAATTTGCAAATTTAGGATGACTCAGTTAAACTTTTGCACTACTGATAACTTAACCACAATTATGTTAGGGGTGTGTGTATTTAACTGTTTCTGATTGCTCCATGTTTCTAATTGTAATAATGTGGTTCAATGTTTAGCTTATCATTTATAACTGAACATGGATAGTGAAACTAATGAAGTGATGGCATGATATGACCAGACATGCAATTACCACATGCAGCATTTCAGTTCAGTGGATTAAACCCATGAATCATTAAACAAAAAGATTTTTAACTGCATGCAGTTAAGGAAGTATTCTATTAATCATTCACATATGCCCTTTCTTGAAAATGCTATTGGTGTGCTATGTTAATCTTTCTTCAGTGTTAGAGGAGAAGCTGGGTCTTCCAATGATCTGTGAACCCCCTAAAATCTATGTAAAATCATAGTATGTGGACAGTTTTCTGGAAAAGACCAGAAGTGGTTCAGAACCATGCTAATGTTTTTAAAATCAAGCACTAACACACACATTATACTATAATAATTTTCCTTACTTTTGAGTTACTTGTTCAAATATAAATTATTACTGAGACTTGCTTATCATAACATTTACTGAATTTAATTATAAGGGCCCATTTACTTGTGTATACTCCATACTACAATGTAAGCTACCTAAAGGCATAATTGTACCTTGCACATAATTGCATTGCCATTTTCTATAGTTTCTTTCACCTCAGAATGACAACTTTCTCTTAGTAAAATAGCCATCAACATCTATATGTAATGAAGGAAGTGACAAATTTCCACAACCTATGAAAATTAGTTACATTTAAAAATATTTGACTATAATATCTACTTCATTAAAATTTTAAGAATTAAATATGTCAATATTAATAAAGCATTTGCCCCATAATAGCAACTAAACACATATATTCTTAAGATAGTAGTCTTCTATTTTAAAAGTTTTTCCTCATAAAGTTATAAAACTCATGAGAGTTAAGATAGAGTTTCTTGTATACAAATTAAGATGAATTTGTGAACTGGGCCAAGGGTATCATTTATCCTTGCACATTGCTTATTCAACCAAAGTACCCCCATCCATAATAATGTATTTACAAAGCCATTATGTTTTTATTCTAACTTGAAATAAGTACACAGTTACTAAAGAAAGTATATAAATGTTCCAAACACAAATAAAATTTATTTCAATAAGTAGAATTTATAACTAGAATTAAAAACCAAAATCTAAAATTGTGTGATAGAAAAAAATCTATCATACAATTGAACCATTTTCAAACACTTTAAACATTTAAAAACATCACAGCTTCCAATTATTAAGGCAAACCAAACACTAAAAAAAGAAAAAAACAAACAAACAAACAATGTAAATGTCAAGGCATAAGAAAAATAACATAACTTAATAATTGGAATAAGCCTTGCTTATCTTAATTATGGCATGGTTTAAGTAAAGCAAATGAAACAATTTCAAATGAAAACTGTGATTCCAGCTCATGAGTATGAAAACTTGAGAATATTCAATAGTAAATGTACTTTGTCTTAAACACAAACTATTAGAACATTTGTTCTTACATATGCTAATAATAAACATTAGGCAATAAAATGATTTAATTCTAACACCTGTTCATTCTAGAAGAGCCAAAAGGAAGAGAAATTTTAAAAAAATACGAAAAATTTAAGAACAAAAACCTCTGTGCTTATTGTTCAGCAGACTTTTTAAATCTTTGCCAAATCTTCAAGTCAAGAGGTAACTAATTCTTGAGATTTACAATGAGTCATGTGCTTTAAATTTTGCCTTTAAATTATGACATTATTTATTTTGGAATAAATCAAAATTCTAACCCTGTACCACAATATTAATTTTGTAACACTAAGAGAAAAATTTTTATAGCCCTACCTAAACAATCCAAGATTCATCTTTATGCCTTAGTTATTACAAAAAGTTTATTAGGTTAAAAGAAACATCAACATCTTACCTTTATTAATGAAGTCACAACAATTGCTCCAGCATTTACCATAGGATTGTGTGGTTTATCTGTAAAATATAAAAGCATTTCACTATAGTACTATTTTCTTTGATGTACTTCTCATAAACATTAACTCTTTTAAACATAAGTCTATTATATAGTAGCTGTTTTCTTGGAGGAAGTTCATATTTTGAAATCAGTTACATATCAAACCAGTACTTTATTTTTAGGACTTTGTTCTAATAGTCATATAGTCAAGCAAGGATTCATATACAGATTCAGGAAGTAATAATATAAAAATATATCCAAATTTCCTAACTCACATTCACTAGTTATGTGTCCCTCAGTCCCTAGGCAAGTAAATGAATCCCATCTCAATTTTCTCCTTTGTGAACAAGGTAGTAATAGGAACTTAAAACTCTAAAACACATGAGATGCTCAGAAAATGTTTGATACCCACCAAAGCACTCAATATATTAAAAATAATCTTGAAAAACACATGTGGTATGATCCCAATTTTGCTTTTAAAAAAAGGCATTTTATTCTTGTGCCTATGTATAAATACATACATACACAGAACAAAAGAAACACAAGTGATATACATAAGAGAGTAAGATTACAGTATATGTAAATCATATCGTTTCCTATACTTCTGGACATAAGGATGTTCTCTTGCACAGTTTTTAAAAGTTACTTAAAATTTTAAGTTCAACCAAAATGTTATCTATTCTATTTCTTACGATAAAGAGAATTTTCAAATCTCAACTGATTACATTCTCATTTACTGCACAGCAAAAAATGTCAAACACAAAATTCTTGAGAGCAGTGAAAATATCTATTTGTAAGCATTATTCCTAATTTATCTGTTTGCAGCAGTGATTTATTTCTTTTTTTTTTTTTTTAAAGAGAGAGTGAGAGGGTGACAGAGAGAGAGAGAGAGAATATTAACATTTATTTATTTTTTCTTAGTTCTCGGCGGACACAACATCTTCGTTTGTATGTGGTGCTGAGGATCGAACCCGGGCCGCACGCATGCCAGGCGAGCGCGCTACCGCTTGAGCCACATCCCCAGCCCCAGTGATTTATTTCTTAAGGAACAAGTCCTTATCTAACTTGACAAAGCTAGTACAGTATATAAGTTATCACTATATTACTAGTCCCATTAAACAGAGTTAACATACAAAGCAATTCCACTCCTGGGTATAATACCAAGAGAAATTAAAATGTGTTCATACAAAAACTTGTATACAAATGTTGACAGAAACATTACTAATAAAATTTTAAAAAAATGAAAACAACTCAGATGCTCCATAAGCTGAAAAGTGGATAAACAAACTATGGCATTATTGATACAATGGAATATTAGAAAAAAGGAATAAAGCTATGCCATGGATAAATCTTAAAACATCATTTTAAAAAGCCAGTCATAAAAGAGCAAATATTATATGACTGCATTTATATGAAATTTCCCAAACAGATAAATCTATAAGAACAGAAAGTAGATTACTAGTTTCCTGGAATAGAAGAGAATGAGGAAAAATGGCTAAAGGGTATGAGATTTCTTTAGGGAGTGATGAAAGTGCTCTAAAATGGATAATAGTAATAATGACTGCACAACCCTGTGAATACAGTAAAAGCCAATGAACTGTATACTTTAAATGGATGAGTTGTGTTATATGTAAATTATCTCATTAAAACTGTCACACATTTTTTTAATTAAAAAAATCCAAGAGACCATAACAATGAATAAATTACAGCCTAGTTTCTTTCACTGTGATTTGGTAGTTATGCTTTTAAAATTGTGCATTTTGGATCTTGCCATCCCACCACTGGGTATATATACCCAATATAATCCAATCCTGATACTGAAGAGAGATATGCCCTATCATGTTCACTAAAACACTATTCACAACAGCTGAGATATGGAATCAAACTAAATGTCTATCAATGGATGAATAATAAAAATGAGATATGTATACACAATGGAATATTATTAACCTTTAAAAAATAAGGAAATAATCATTTACAATAACATGGTTAAATCTGGAGGACATTATGTGAAATAAACGAGGCACAGAAAAACAAATTCTGCATGATCTCATTTGTATATGGAATTTAAAAAAGTTGAACTCAGAAGCAGAGATTAGAACAGTAGTTAGCATGGCTGTGTGTATCCAGCTGGGGTTGTGGCTCAGTGGTGGAGCACTGGGTTCGATCCTCAGCACTGCATAAAAATAAATAAGTAGGGTCTGGGATTGTGGCTCACTGGTAGAGCACTTGTCTAATAAGTGTAATCCCAGCTGTTTAGAAGGCTGAGGCAGGAGGATTTCGGGTATGAGACCAGCCTCAAAAACCTAATGAGGTTCTAAGCAACTTGGCAAGACCCTGTCTCAAAATAAAAAACAAAAGAGGAAGACACATTTCATTTTTTATCCAGCACAAAGAAAAAAATATAAAAGTATATTTCTTACAACAGTTATTGCAATCTTAAGTCCTTACTTTCTTCAGTCTTACTTTATTCCATATCTTATCAATCAGGAACCTCACATATGCTTGAAAGATTAAAAAACAGATACCAACTCATAGGAATAAAGCATAATCTAGCTTACAACAGTTTGATGTTTAGTTTTAAAATTACTATCAGATTAAAGTACTAACTACCTTTGTCCTCTCTTATCTTTACAATTCCTGCAAAATAATGTCTTGTTTAATCATACATCTTTATTTAATCAGACATATCTTTCAAATAATTAAGTTATGAAGGAGAAAGACCAAACACACACACACACACACACACAATAACAAATTCAGCCACTATCTCAATGGTTTCCATTTAAACTTTTTATGATGGAAGTTTTTAAATATTTACTATATTCAAAAGTAAATAGTATATGAACATTATATACCCTCAAATTTATATTCAGTTCAATATAGACCCTTCCCCTGAGTGACGGATGAACACCAGTATGGTATACCAATTTGCTATGTGGGATAAAGCCATGTCATCTCATTTCCTTATGTGCTTTCATCGCATCCAACATTTAATTCAATCGCACAGTTAACTCTTTGCACATTTTACAGGTATAAAATGAGGACAAAAGCCTGAAACAATGAAAGAAAAACCAACTAAAAAACCTAGGTGTTTGTTTCATCTTTGCCAAATAGAATTATTTAGCAGCAATAATTACCAACACAGTAATAATCATACCTAGTATTCCCACCTGCCTCCATTGAATGGTTTTTAAGCAAATTCTAGAAATTTTGAAATTCTTCTACAAGATATATCCCTACAGGTTCTTGTAAGTACAATTCTTACTCTTTCCCCCATCTTCTCCCTAGCATATTCTCCAGTAGTAGAAAATGCCTAAAAATTTAAAAAGTAGGCGATTAAACTCTCTGGATTTCACAGAAATTTTATTATGAGTAGAAAACAATGTGGGACTATTTTTAATTTCTGCAAAAAAAAATTTAATTACTTAGACTTACTTAAAAAAGTGAAATATTTATTTTTCAACCAACTTGTAGGTAATTCTTACCATCTTCATTTAAAAACAGTTTGTTAAATCTTAATCCACTTGGCTCTTTCCCAACATATCGATGCACATATTCAGTTCCAAGATCATTAACAGCAATGGCATATTTCAAAGGTTTTACACAGGACTGAAGACAAAAGGGAACTTTGGTATCTCCAATAGAATGCCTATGTAAAAGTAAATTTTAGAGATAATTAACATCAAATGGGGAAAAAAGTAACTGCGTAACTAGAGTTATTTTTTATACATGTTAATTCCAATTTATAAAGTATAATTCAACACAAAGTTTACTTTGGTATTAAAGAATAAATATTTTTATTTTAAAAGTGATACTGCAAAAAAAAAAAAGGCAAAAGCTTATATTCAAGTAGTAAAGTAATAGTTCTGAATTAGGAAATTAATAAGTAATGTGGAAATTTTCCTTTGAAGGAAAGAAGGTACTTCCCTAATTACTCCTACCTGTATTCAGTCACAAAGTGAACTAATCCTTTTAGATGGTATTCATCTTGGTTAAAACATGTTTAGTTTAAGAATTAAACAGTGCTCAGTGTAGACTGAATACTAGTCTCTGACACCTTATCTATAAATGCCTCATCTTGTGAATCACATCTACTTCCAATTCCCATTGGAAAAAACAGCATTGGTTTTATAAACCTTATAAATCTGACACTAAGTTACAATACCATGAGTAATCTGTACATTTTATGGGCCCAATTTAGGAAAAAAGCCTGTAACAATGGAAAAAATGGATTAGAAGTTAAGAGACCTAGGTTCTTGTTTCACCTTTGCCAATATCATGTCAACCATGGGCCTCAGATTCCTAATTTTCAAAGAAAATAGGCTAAACCATACACTTTTTATTGCAAATAGTTTAAGATAACCACTCAAAAATTAAAAAAAAAAAACTTAAAATGAATGCACCAAGGAGATCAAAATTTATAAGTAAAGGGAAAAAAATTTAAATGGAACATTATCTTAAAAAATAAAATCTAAACTTTTAGAATTATATGACTTGTCTTAACAAAATTTAGGATAAAATAATCTCTCTGATATAAACTCATCAATCTCTATACACACTTATAAGATGTATACCTTTTATTTCAGTTATATTTTAATAAAAAAGAACAAACCTAAAAACAAAAAGATTGCATCTCTAAGTCTTTAAATAAGAGTGAGAAAATACTGATTTTTCTTTTATGGAATAATTTTTCTGATAAAATCAAGTTACAACTTGATAATAAATCTTCATGTCTAACTTTTAGCACAATAAAAAAGGGTCATTCTTAAAAAAATATTCCAGAACTTCATCATTTTTTCCAGGGCCTCTCTTAATTCTTTTTTAAATAAAATCACTTTCTTTAAAAATGCCTTCATCACATCACTATCCTTCTTATAATTCTGTCAGCAGCTTTGCCTGCAATAAGACATTTCCCAAACATGGCTTTCATGAACTTCATGAAATCCTGCATATTTTGCAACAGACTTTTCACTCTGTAAATGAGTGATAGATAATGGGATATGCTATGCTGTACAGTCTTACCTCTTATGCCAGCCATATCAGGAAAAAATATAGTAGTGGGTGAGTAACCAGTAATATGCTAATTTTATTAGTTGTCAGTTCATTAAAGAACAATGTCAGGTTTTGACAAGACTACATTTCTTGAATAGGTAACTGTAGATACTTGAATAAAACTCAAATAAGACTATAGCTGTCAATAAGAAGGATAAAATACCTCAAAATTTTAACATAAAATTACTGTTTTAGCTGAGTTTTTTTACATTATAATATAAACTTATTTATCTTCTTGAAATTTGTTCTCAGAATTATTATCTATTATACAAGATGGTCCTCTCTACATCATGCTCATTGTTATTCAAAATTTAAGGCTTAAAGTTGGTTTTCATAGATTTGAAATAAACGCACCTCTGTCCATCTACTGTACAAACCGACACACCCCACAGGTCAGGACTGAATTTGGCCAGTTGAGGAATATAGTCTGCAACCTATGAAAAATATTGGAAAGAAATTAACAGGTATAATAAAAAGTGTCTAATCTCATATAGCTATTGTATAACACTCAGAAGCTTTTTATTCTATCTTTTATAACAATATTCCTAAAAACTAAGGGCACTATAGACTTGAGAATTAGGGTGAAATCAAGTGCCTTCTCTTAGGCTATTACTCCCTATGTTTTCTAATGCTTTTTCTTCCTAAAAGCAAGATAATCTCAAAGAAAAACTTGGACTAGGTTTAAGGAAAGAAGAAAAAATTTCTTATCTTAAGTAAACTGCCTATATTAATTACAATCATGGATGCATGTAGAGTTTCATTATCTAACAAATTAGGAATCAAACAAATAAAAATAAGTAATGGTAATTACACTGAATTATTATCAAGAAGTTATATTACAAAAAAAGCTACCCAAAACTAAAACAAAATAAAACCTTTCAATACGGAAATTAAATAAAATAGCCTCTATTATTATTTAGAGGATTTATTTATTTTAATGTACTTATTAACAGTGCTGTGGATCCAATCCAGGGCCTTGTACAAGGGAGGCAAATGCTCTGCTTCTGAGCTGTACCTGCTGTCTCTAGAGGATTTTTCCTTTTTCTTTTTTGTGGTGATGGGGATTGAACCCAGGGGCACTCTACCACTAAGCTCCACCCCCCAGCTCTCTTTTATATCTTATTTTGAGACAGGGTCTTGCTAAATTGCCAAGGCTGGCCTCGAATTTATGATCCTCCTGCCTCAGCCTCCTGGGATTACAAGTGTGTGCCACCTTGCCTGGCTTCCAGAAGATTTTTTAAAACTAGAAACATTCTACTTAATGTTCAAAGATACCAGATCTGCAGAAATTCCCAATAAGGTTTTTGTTTACTTAATTAAAAATTTAAAAGGCATCTCATTAGAAAATAAAAGAATGCCTAAACTTAGGCTCCTTTTTTGCAAGAATAGCAAAGTTAAACATTTTAAATATTTAAAAACATTAAGGGGCTGGGGTTGTGGCTCAGTGCATGAGGGAGGCACTAGGTTCAACCCTCAGCACCACACAAAAATAAATAAAAATAAAGGTATTGTGTCCAACTACAACTGAAAACAAACAAACAAACAAACATTAAATCCAGTAGCTTGATTTAACTTGAATTTCTTAATTAGCAAAAGACAACTACAATTTTATTCTCTATTCCTCAAATTGAGCTGGAAGTATTAATTAAATGACTGGGTTATATCCACACCAAAAATATTACCTTTCCTCCAGACTGCTTTTTAGCACTTTCATATAATTCATCGATGTGTGAGGTAAAAGACATAAAGTCAGGAATGACAAACTTTCTTCTAAAGGCTTGTGTCAGCAAGACAATGTTGCTTTGAACACATCTGTAGAATGTGAGGAAAAAAATTAATAGACTGAGTGCCTTTCAATTATTAATACTTGGTAATAACAGCATTAATTAGGAGAATATTAACCCATATTTTAAGAAGACACAAATCCATCATTTTATACAACTAAATTCTACAAATTATAGTCTTTCTACATAATTTTCTTTCCTTCTAGTAGTCTTTCATGTAGTTGCTTGTAAGATGAACAGGTTAGAAATAAATTAGATGTGACTAAAAAATGCGTCAAAGACAACATGACAGAGCATTCTAACAGGTCTAAGTATAAGGACCATCTGAAACAAGTTTCTTATTTTACCAGAATAGATAAACATTCAGTATGACATCTGGTTAACAGAAATAAGACTTTAAAATATTATGGATAAGATCCTATTTATTTTTCAATTAAGGAACTTCAGACATCATAGCTCTTAGTTTCTGTATAACTAGCCCTAGTATTTCACCAAAAAAAAAAATTAAATATTTTGTATTTTAACATTCTTTTTCCAAATTACATTTTGAAAAACTTTTATTTCTAGTTTAAGAGTTGGAGATAAAACATATTTGATTTAGTCAGATTAATAAGTTAATTCTCGAATGAAATATTTGTTAAAATTCTTATAAAGTATAATTTTAAATAAAATTTCACATAAAATCATTCAATTTTATATTATTTAAATCACAAAAAAATGCTAATTACATTATTCTACTCAATGTAAAATATGTACTACACTGTTGAATAAAAGTGTTTCACCATTAAAAACTCTTTTAAAGCCATGGTAAACCATGTGGATGGAAGGTCATAAAATCTAGTTATTTGAACCAATATTCTGCTTTGATCTAAAAAGGATTTAAGCCAGAAAGTCTGTAGGTTAAAGTAAACTTAAGAGTTTTGTGTATAGATTACTCTGAGCTTAAGATACTCTTCTTAAGTTTTCTAAGTCTCAGTAACTCAATAACAGAATCTTAATTGAAAAAGGAAGACTTGCTATACGTGGATGTCAAGCCATAATACCAACTGTGATAAATCTTCAGGATGAACCTTTATAAGGAAATATTAAAGTCAAACCATTAATATGAGAAGTTATTCATTTAACTGTATTCCTCAGGGATGAGTAATATAATAGCAGCTTCTTTGAGGAAAAGAAAAAATTGCCTTTTTAAAAAACACAACCAAATTGCAAGTACTAGTCATCTTGTTTAGTCCTCAAAACATCAACACTTTGTAAAGAATTTCCCCACTTCCCAGATAAGAAAATGAGATTCCAAGAGGGTGAATAATGCCCTAATCATAAATGGAGAAATAAAGTAGAAATCCTCAATATTTTTCGAGTTTGATAACTGAGAAATTTTAAAACCTCAATATTTTAATTCAAGCTGTTCTAGAAGAAACATCAAATTAAAATTAAAAACCAAGTTTCATATTTTAATTATTAATAAAACTCAGAATATATATTCAGCTGGTCAACATAAAATTAACATATAACTGTAAAATAAAATCTTAATGCAAAAGACTATTGTTTCATTGACAAGAATCTCTCTATTATAAACATTAAAAAAATTATAATCATAAATTCTACTATTAACCTATGGGTATATTTGTTGACATCCAGAGTTGACAAATATTTACCACTTATATAAACATTGATAGTTTCCTTCCAGCTTTAAATGTTAACCTAAGATATATTACCATAACTTTAGTGTTTAATATTTAAAATGTTTCATATAGTTTCTAAAATTCAACTTGCAAATATCAAAACTGCAAAGGATATATATACCAAAGAACAACTTTCTCAGAGAAAAACACTAAGATAATTTCTGATCTTAAATTACCTCTATGTCAAATCATATATATGAGTCACTTCTCAAGAAGTTATAATTAAGCAAGTATGGGAAGTATCAAGCAAATTTAAATTATTAACCTACTACAATTTTAAACTAATCAGTACCTTCAACAGGAGGATTTATAATTAATAGTCAAAGACACCTACTTTGGTTTTGTTTTTTTCCTCTAGCAGAAGGTGCTGGCAAAGCTGTAGAAACAGCCTTCCCTAGTATATGACCAACAAATTTTACCTCTCACAAGAGTACCTAACTGCATACTGATGAGTTTCCAAATATTAAGGTTTTTCTTGTGTCGGTTATTTCAATATAGATTTCATCAATCTATCCAAAAAATTAGAAGTCATGTAAGATGAGCGCTGAAGAAGAGCTGTTTATGCCTTTCAGAAAGTGATATCTTTCTCTCTGCTTTATTCAATTTTCTTATCTGTGAACTGGGAGTAGTCACTTTATTTCCCACTTTACTTAAATATTTATGTTTCACAACTATAATGTGCATGGATGTTCTACAAAACACTTCTCACAAAATTTTTCTTTAGTAAAATAACATAATAATAAACTTTTTTAGAAAACTATAAAATATACAAAATACAAAAACCATTCATTCACTTTTTCCAAAATCCAAAAAGACCAAATAATTACTATCATATATAAAAATAATTCCAATATCTAGAAGGTTAAAAAAATGCATGAACAAATAAAGAATTCATTTTCAACACAAATATTTCTACTTCTATTAGTTTTAAGAATTATTAGCATTAAAGACAATTGACTACATAGATGGGTACAGGCAGTCTCCAACTTTCAAATAGATTATATTCTAAAAAAGGTATTTTAGAAGTCATTTTCCCCGTTTAAAAAAAAAAAAAAAGATTTCATACAAAGACTAAATACATTAACCTACAATGCATTTTAAGTAAAGTCCCTACATTTTGACTTCAACCAAACTTTCCAACCTTTATAAATGTTATTTCTCTGGGAAAATGAATTCCATGTTTTAACATCTCTTCCCCAACTACAGAGAGGTGAGATAGTTTATTTCTAGCTACACTAGCTAGGTAACTACTTATGATTGAAAACAGAAAAGGAATTTCTCTGGAAATATTACCCTTCCAGGTGACCTGTAAAGGTTACTATTCAGAGGTACAATCACTTCATTGTAGGAATGAAAAGAAAAATCTTATGCCTATGGCTTGCTTTTATATACCACTAAGCAACTGCCAAGTTGGGAACTGCCCATATTACAATCATAGACTTTAAATTATGGTAATTATTATCTTCTAATGTAATAACAGATAGAAAACTAAATGATTGTGGTTTCCTGGCTTCATAATCAGAATATGAAATTGCTTTAAATTTCATATTTAAGCATAACAACATGTTTATAAGACACAAAACATTTTAAACAGTATTAAAGGTGTAAAATACTGCTTCCATTTTAAATTCCAGATCTACCTATATCTCTTGAATAACTATGCTCAGAGTAAGCCAAAATAACTTCCTAAAAGGCACCCTAATCAAGAGTACTTTACAGAGACAACTCATGAACACTAACAATAATGTCTTAACGCAAAGGTACAAATATATCTAGAAATAAATTTCTTGTCTCCACAAAGACACAGGTTCTGTAGACTCAAAAATTTCTAACATCAATTGCAAAGTGGACCTACATAAAGTCAATGTGTATAAAGGTCAGCTGAGCTAACAGAACCAAGAACCTCCCAGGGAAAAGAAAAGAATCCAAAACTGTCAGCAGCACTTCCCAGCATGTCAGGACATTTCAGAGAACCCTAGTTAAATACTTATCCCTTTAGATTAGTTAATATTCCAGGATATTCCCAGGAGATTATCTTGGACAAATCATCCAGTTCCCCAAATAAACTTTCAAAGTAGATGCAGAAATTCTTCAGATCCATCTCTACCAAAACCTACATCTTATATAAATACTTTCAGCTTTATGCTAGCTTCCACTCAGCTATTAATAGTTTAAAATACTATCTGACTCTTTAGTATCCATTACAAACATGTTGTCTGTTATATCTTCAATAATTAAACTAATAGGAACACATAAATCAAGATAAATAATAAAGATATACAATATAGAATGCCAAATTATTTTCAAGACTTAACTTCCAATACTCAGTCAAGATCTTAAGCTCCAAAGCTGTCTTTAGTTCTTAACTGATTCAAGGAAAATGAAAATTGCCAAAAACCTATGCATTAATACATCTGAAGAAAGGAGGGAAGCAGACAATGCACATATGTACAACTAAGGAATACAAGGCTGTCTGAAGCCCTCTCATTTTATGATGTCATCTAAATCATCTCATGGAAAGAACTAGAAATTATGCTGAAAAAGCCTGCAAGGCATGTAGATGAACTGGAGATCAACATAAGCAACAACAGGACAAAGGATGTGTTCTATTCAAACTAAATGCAATCTCTAGGTAAGATATATTAGAAATATCCATGGCTAAATTTCTTACAATGGATTTAAAGAAAGTTTGTTTTTTACCTAGTGTATTATATAGAACCTTAATGTATACCATCATGTTCTTCAAACAAATGATGTTCTAAACCCCCTTTTTCAGTTACACAGGAAGCAGCACTGGCCTTCAGAGATGCAATTTTGTCTTAAAAGCAAAATCACCATATAGCATAGCAAATCACCATTAAAGGTTTGGCAGAAATTTTTACTTTTTAAAAAGATCTTTGTCTAGCATGACACCATCTGATGTTGTTTGAAGAGTTAATCTTAACATATCCATACACTCTTTCAACCTGGGATCAGACGTTCGCAATCCTGTAGATTTGAGTGCCTGTTTTTAAAAAAACAAGAGCTTGTAAATATATAGTGCAAATAATGTATATGCTTATTCCAACTACAAGTTTTTATTCCTGTACATAAAAACTTCTATCCAAGACTTGAAAATGTATGTGGCATTTGTGTCACTATTACCCACTTTCTGGACAAGTTTCTCATAGTTTCTTTCTTTTTCTTTCACTGATTACCTTGAAACAAGCATGATAAAAATTCGAAAACATAATAAGAGAAACAGTGTCAGTGAGAATCTATATGTCATATGACCTTTAAGACTACATTTTAGTAATACTCTATTACTAATTTAGTACTACTAACTTCTTAAAAAGTTAAGATAGAAAAATGTAAAAACTTACTGTAATAAATTTATGAACAGGTATTTTTTCTTGTCCTTCCGCAATTGTATAAAACAGCAAATCTTCCAAGCTAGGTAACAGACCCTGTTTTATTTTACTAAAAGGGGAGGAAAAAATACAAAATTAATCCTTGTGTGAACATTCTAATGGATTTTAACTAAGTATGCTATTAAATAATCATTAAACCAGACTATAGCTGATATATTTTTAAGACTACAGTTATAATAAACACTGATTTACCAAAATCAAATAAGTAGCACTAGAAATCATACTGAAAATGAAATAAAAATGATTCATTAATACATAAATTTTTTTTTTAATCTCAGGTTTTGAAATCCTGATAACCAACTCTAGTGTGCTAATAACTACCCATCTGTTAAGGTAATAATATCTAGTCCAGTATAATCACCCAATACTAACTACAGAGTTCAGTAAATGTCCAATTAAGAGTCAACACTTTGGTTAGTTACTCTTTTTTAATGTGACAACTATATCTTTATTATTCAAATAGTGAACCTGATGGTGAAATCTGGGAGAGACAGCAATTAAGAATTGGATAGTAACTTAAGATCAAGTGCACAAGTTCTTGAATCCTGGCAGTAATTATAGCTATGTAACCTTAGTGTTATCTGTGTATCTGTGATTCACTTTCCTCATATGAAAGAGAGGGCTGTTTTGAGGATCAATTGCCTCAGTACATTTAATACCTGTAGAACACTACCTGACAGAGTAAGTACTGAATTGATGGCAGCTATAGTTATTATTTCTAAAGTAATGTAGGTTTGCATATAACAAATCAAATTTCACAAATCATAAAGATTATCAGAAAAAACTGCCATAAAAATACATTAAAATCTTAATTAACTAAACTAGCATTATAATAAGATAATAAGATTAAGCAAACTTTTAAATAGGAAAGAAAATTTTCTTATCCATTGAAAAGCTTTCAAGTGAGCAAATTATAATGAACCTATTTAATGTTTTCTCTTCTTGGCTAAGAAACTGAAAATATATTTCATTATTCTGAACATCAATGATTATCATAAATATTATAGTACTATTAAAGGATAACAGATCTAAGGCAGACCAATCCCCTCCCCACCTATCATGAGTTATTAAAATGTCTGGGGGAAATACATGTACAATATGTCTATGAATAAAATATTTTGAGAAAGAACTTTACCTGTATTTCAAGAAAGTGGGAGAGAATATGAGAAAGAAATTAAGAAAATATTCACTTTCTTAAATTTAGAATATAATAAAGTCAACTTCAGTCTAATCACAGAAATCATGGCAAGTTTTATAGGAAAATTATGTGCATTATTTTTGTTTTTTAAAAAAAACTGACACGCAGCATAAGTACTATCAAGTGACACGCAGCATAAGTACTATCAAGATTATGTTTTTGTACTGTTGAAAAAAGCTTTTCTAGATGTCTAAATATTTTCTGGATTACTTAAAGAGTATATACTAGTCATATATTTTTTAAGACCATACATATTTAATTATTTCATAATAGAATTACTTGGCAGAATACTATTAGAGGTCCATATATTTCTATTTTAAAAGATGATGGGAAATAGAATTAGTTCAAGAAATATATACTTTGAACACACAAACACATATATAATTTCTCCTAAAAGAAATATTAATATTGGCATTAATATCATTAATACTTGTTTTCAAAACTGCTACATCAACTTCCATTTTTAAAGTTAACCACAAAATATATGAATTTCACCCCATACTTTTTAAAAAACTAACACATAGGATTATCATTTTAAAAATTTAATGATGTGCCTGAAAATAAACCCTGAAACAATTTTTGCTCTTAGACAACTTTAAAAAGTACATCTGAAATATTTTAATAACTAAAATTAATTGATCCTTTATGTTCTAAATACTGTGCCACTATACATGCACTTTAATCCTCCAATGATCTTATGGTGGAGATATTATTATACAAAATACAGCACAGTTACTAGTACAAACTCTATACACTTATAATTTGTTGAAGAAATGAGTAGCTATATCTCCATTTCACAGATGGAAGAAACAACCTCAGAGAGGTGAGAAAACTTCCCCAAGGTTCTACTGCAGCAGAGATGAATTTAAAAATCTCTATTTCTCAGAATTCAGAGTCCAAACTGTTTACCAATACACTATACTGGTTCTCTCATTAAACTGTTATTATGTTTAAAGGGTACAAACAAGTTTTCTGAGTCTTGCACTGATATAATGCCATTAAACAGAGTCCAATAATACTGATGACCTAATATTTAAAGAAAAATCGAATTAGCTGTCTAAAAATCAGTGGATAATAACAAACTAACTATTTACAGATAATGGGTTGGCAGATAAACTTTAGATAATGGAAGTTTATCACCTCAAAAAACTGCAGAATAAGCTTTCTACATATTTATCACACCAGTAAATGGTATTTGCTTTGCCTAAAAGCTATGTAAATAAGAAAATATACACTTCTTTAGCCTATGGTACATAGTGCAAAAAATAAAAATAAAAAAATAAAATGACCATGTTATTGCCATAGCTACAAAAAAAGGTAAATATTTACCTGCTTTTGGTCAAGAAACCAATTTTTATACATAGGAAAAAAAATTTAAGCCAGGCCTAAAAACAAATGCTCACCAAATAAACTTCAAAACTGATAAAAATAAATTAATGCCTATCTCAGCATTTTAAAGGTAAGACTCTGATCTGAGAATGAGTTAGCTTCAATAGTCTGGTAAACAAGTAGAATGCAAATATTGCCACTAACTTTTTCTTGTTTTACTCCCCTTTTTCCTCTCCCCAAAATTTAATGTCTTTATGTCTTCACAATTAATGTATTTAACTTTTAGAATTCAAAGGCTAAAACCATAGCTTCTAGACACTGTGCAGTAATTAGGAAATCTCTCAGAAGTATTTTTTTTTGAGGGGGGGGGTGGGTGTTTCTGGGGATTGAACCCAGGGATGCTTAATCACAGAGCACATCCCCAGTCCTTTTTTAAATTTTGAGACAGGGTCTCACTAAATTTCTCAAGGTCTCACTAAAAGTTGCTGAGGCTTCTGCCTCAATCCTTCTGCCTCAGCCTTCCAAGCCATTGAGATTACCAATATGTACCACCACACCCAGCGTATTTAGGTTTTAATGACAAAAAATAGATTACAGTGGGCTTTGAAACTCTATCATCAAAAATAACTGATGAGTCCAATGTGCCCTATAGATTCTGTTCATGTCATAACATAAAATGGCCATGACACTTAATAATTAAAATAGAATATACACAAGACAAGTAAATACAATGAAAAAAATCCTGTTTCACACGTTTTCATTCCTCCTCTTTTGTTCTTTCTTATTTCCTTGTTAGTTTCTGCCTTTAAGATCCTTTCACCATCACATTGTTCCCTCTTTTACCTATCCTTCCCCTCCATTAGCCTAAAAAAACCCACAGCCTATCTGAGCACAGTGGCACAATCCTGTAGTCCCAACAACTTAAGAGACTGAGACAGGAGGATGGCAAGTCTCAGGCCAGCCTGGGCAACTTAGTGAGACCTTGCCTCAAAAGCAAACACTAAAAAGGGCTGAGAGTGTAGTTCAGTGGTGAAGTGCTCCTGGGTTCAATCCACAGTGTCTCTTTCTCTCTCTCTCATAGTGTGTGTGTGTGTGTTGTGTGTGTCTCCCACACACACATGCACACAAAGAATGAAAGAGAGGAGGGAGGGAAGGATGAACCTAGTAAGGTTACTGTCTAGAGAGATAAGTAATGTGACAAGTACTGTGGTAGAAATATAAGACTGGCAGTACAGGAGATGCCTTTAATTTTGGTTTGACTGGTGAAGGGGTATAAAAGTTTCTAATTTATCATTAGAACAATATTACAAAACCAACCATCAGTTCAAAATCTTATAGATTAAAGCAAAATTTTTTCTGGGTCTTTTTCTTTTGCAATCCCACAGAACTCTTAAAGCAGTCTTCCATAAATATTATAATGTGTTAAATGATCAAAAAAGATCAATTTTTTTTCAACTGGAATCTTGAAAATGAGGTCTACTAACAGAATACCAAAAAGAATGCTGATCTTATCTTCATTTTAAAATTATGACCCTTAAAAAAGACATTTTGGGGGGCTTAGGTTGTAGCTCAGTGGTAGAGCACTTGCCTAGCACATGTGGGGCACTGGGTTCAATTCTAAGCAGCACCACATAAAAATGAAATAAAAGTCCATCAAAAACTAAAAAAAAAAATTATTAAAAAATATTTTTAAAAAGATATTTGGGGTTGTCTTTAAATCAGTTTATCATTGAGTTTAGAGTGATCTGATTGGTAACAAATATCCATCAACCATCAGCAAGTTAGCAGATTAAACCTGCCAGTTAAAAGCTGAATTGATAATGGCTGGCCATATAATACTACTGTACATCAGAATGAATTCATGACAAAGTGACAAATTATGTTTTTCAGCCAAGTCATTTTGCCCTAAAGCTAATCACCGATTGAATTTAAAAATACAACTCATATCTTCTATGACTTTACTTTAAAAAAAAAAATGGACTTTTACTTTTCTATCTCTAAACCCTACCAGGTAAATTAAGGTAGGTTTTGTCCATTGGTCACAAGTAAAAACAGAGTCTCAAAGTCAAGCAACATGTCCAATGTCATACAACTCTTAAGGAGCTAAACCAGAAGTAGTCCTAGAAAGCTGATTTGTTCCTAGTCCCAGACTCCAGATGTTCTACCATACCAACTATTCTCAGTTGTCAACACTCCATTTTAATAGACATACTTGGAGTTCTTTAAGAATATTAAAGACAAGGGTCTTTACTTACTGAAAATTATCTAACCAAAATGCCAATAGGGGATTTACTTAGGTTAAATGACTGAATTATTGTTCTGCCCAGTTAAAATCACATCCTATACAAAGCAAGGATGAGATTATTTTAAATAAAAGTTTTGTTTAGATTGAACTTTACTGAAGAAATTTATTCAATAGCAGGCCACAAAAACTAGCTTGACATGAGGGAGTGGTCAGGATTTCCATAATAGCAATAGCAATTTGTTCAGATGGGCACAACTAGTTTAATCCAGAAAGCAGT